TGATAATGAAAGATATATCTACGTGGGCGATGGCAAAACAGTTCAAGTTGAGGCAATTGGAGTTTTTAGATTATTGTTAAAGACCGGATTTTATTTGGATCTCTATGAGACATTTGTTGTACCGTCTTTTTCGAAATTTAATTTCTATTTCTGCTTTGGACAAATTTGGTTATTTTTGTTCATTTGAAAATGAAAAATTTGAATTGTTTCATGATTCAAAATTGGTTGGCTCTGGTTCTTTAATGCACTACGATAATTTATATTTAATTGACACAATTGCCTCATTTAATGAATCTCTGCATTTGAGTACTAGAGGAGTTAAAAGAAAATTAGCCAATGAGAATTCAGCTGCATTATGGCACAAGAGATTGGGACATATCTCAAAACGGAGAATGGAAAGGCTTGTGTCAAATGAAATTCTCGACCCCTTGAGTTTTACAGATTTTAATGATTGTATTAACTGTATAAAGGGGAAACAAACCAATGAAAGGAGATTTGAAGCCAATAGGGCTTTAGACGTCTTAGAACTTATACATACAGATATTTGTGGACCATTTCCTACATCTGCTTGGAATGGTCAACAATATTTTATAACGTTCATAGACGATTTTTCAAGATATGGCTACATATATCTCATTTCTGAAAAATCACAGTCACTGGACGTATTCAAAAGTTTTAAGGCTGAAGTTGAGAATCAACTCAACAAAAGAATTAAAAGCGTCAGATCTGACCGTGGTGGTGAGTACTATGGCAGATATGACGGTTCAGGTGAACAACGTCCAGGACCATTTGCTAAATACCTAGAGGAATGCGGTATCGTCCCACAGTACACTATGCCGGGTTCACCCACTATGAATGGTGTAGCTGAAAGACGAAATAGAACGCTTAAAAACATGGTAAGGAGTATGATATGTCATTCTACTTTACCAGAATCACTCTGGGGTGAAGCACTTAAGACTGCAGCATATATCCTTAATAGGGTTCCAACTAAAGCAACTATCAAAACCCCTTATGAGCTTTGGACAGGAAAAAAACCCAGTTTAAAGCATCTGCATGTTTGGGGGTGTCCAGCTGAGGCAAGACCTTACAGGCCAAATGAAAAGAAACTGGACTCAAGAACGATTAGTTGTTATTTTATTGGATACTCTGAAAGATCCAGAGGTTACAAGTTTTATGATCCCACAACTAAGTCAATTTTTGAGACAGGAAATGCTCGGTTCTTTGAGGATGTCGAGTTTGGGGGAGTAAAAACAGTAAGGGACATTGTCTTTAAAGAGGAATATATTAATATTCCCACAGGTGTCATTGCTCTTGCTCAGGACCCTATCCCTGAACTTGATCATGACATGACAAATCAAGACAATGTCGAAGAGCAAACTGTTATAGAAGAACAAACTCTTCCTCTTCAAGAACCAGTGCCATTAAGAAGATCCACTAGAGAAAGAAGAAGTGCAGTGCCAAATGATTACATTGTTTTTCTCCAAGAACATGAGGATGACTCTAGATTGATGGAAGATGATCCAATCAACTTCCGTCAAGCCATGGAAAGTTCAAATTCTCAAAAGTGGATCGATGCTATGAATGAGGAGATTAAATCCATGAAGGACAATGATGTTTGGGATCTTGTCCCATTACCCGAAGGTGCGAAATCCATTGGTTGTAAATGAATATTTAAAATCAAAAGGGATTCGAAAGGCAATGTGGAAAGATTCAAAACTCGTCTTGTCGCTAAGGGATTTACACAAAAAGAAGGTATCGATTATAAAGAAACCTTCTCTCCAGTCTCTTCAAAGGATTCTTTTAGAATTATCATGGCATTAGTGGCACATTTCAATCTTGAGTTACATCAGATGGATGTAAAGACAGCGTTCCTCAATGGTAACATTGATGAGACAATTTATATGATGCAACCAGAAAACTTTGTATCAGGAGATCCAAAGAATATGGTTTGCAAAATTAAAAAATCCATCTATGGGCTCAAACAAGCATCTCGACAATGGTATTTCAAATTCCATCAAGTAATCATCTCATTTGGTTTTGAGATGAATTTAGTGGATGATTGTATATACCATAAGTTCTGTGGGAGCAAGTATATTTTTCTGGTATTGTATGTTGATGATATTTTGCTTGCCAGCAATGATATTGGTCTATTGCATGAAACCAAGAAATTTCTAACCAAAAATTTTGAGATGAAAGATCTTGGTGATACATCTTTTGTGTTAGGTATCCAAATACACCGGGATCGATCTCGGGGAATTTTAGGACTATCACAAAAGGACTATATCGAAAAGGTTCTTAAGAGATATGGCATGCAAAATTGTAAATCAAGTGACACCCCTGTGGCTAAAGGAGACAAATTTAGTCTTGAACAGTGTCCCAAGAATGCTTTTGAGGAAAGAGAGATGCAAAAGATTCCTTATGCCTCAGCAGTAGGGAGTCTAATGTATGCTCAAGTATGTACGCGTCCGGATATTGCGTACATTACTGGGATATTGGGTGGATATTTGAGTAATCCTGGATTAGATCATTGGAAAGCAACCAAACGGGTCTTACGATATCTACAGAAAACAAAGGATTACATGCTCACGTATCGGAAGTCAGATGAGTTAGAGATCATTGGGTATACTGATTCCGATTATGCTGGATGCAAAGATATTATGAAGTCAACGTCAGGCTATGTCTACTTATTGGCTGGAGGTGCCATATCCTGGAAGAGTGCTAAACAGTCCCTCATAGCATCTTCCACCATGGCTGCAGAGTTTATAGCTTGTTATGAGGCATCCAACCAGGGAATTCGACTGCGAAATTTTGTCACAGGATTACGTGTAGTGGATGGCATTGAAAGACCACTCAAATTATTCTGTGACAATAAGTCAGCAGTCTTATATTCCAATAACAATAGGAGCTCGATCAAATCTAAACATATAGATATCAAGTTCCTGACTGTTAAAGAAAAGTGCAGAATGGACAGTTATCAATAGAGCATATCGGGACAAACTCCATGGTTGCGGATCCGCTTACTAAGGGATTGCCACCCAAAATGTTTCATGAGCATACTGCTCATATGGGTGTCGTATTAAATGATGTATAGTTTTAGTGGGAGTTTGTTATTTTAAATGCTCTTATGATATTTTTCAGTTATTAAGGATTTAAGGATATTTTATGCATAAATAAAGTTTGGATTTATTTGCACTCTAATTTTGGTATGATTTGATCTCATAAAATTTAAGGTGGACCAGTTGAAAATAGGCATGTTTTGATCACATTACATGAAATTTCCATGCTACACATCCACATCATAATTCATGTCATTCAATTGCATTGATATATGTGACCATTGATAGGTCGAGTTACGAAATTGTAACAAAGGCCGCTTTGATCCTATATTGGTGTAATTGATGGACCGAATTGGTTACAGATACATTGTGATAATGACAGTAAAGTTGAGCTCATACGGTTAATTGCAAAACATAATTATAAGGTTACACATATAGTCCAAGTGGGAGATTGTTGGATCCTTAATCCAACATTGGACTTATATGTGAATAATTATGCATTGCAAACTGTCAATTAAGGTTTAACCCAATTAAAGTGATCAAATATAGTTTGGGTTTAATGTATCTAATAGGATGTGGGCCCTTTAATGTGTAGAAACTTATGGGCTCCTATTTCAATGATGGGCTGAAATAGGGCTCCAAAAGGTAACAGGAATGTTACCTATAAATAGAGTTATGGTCCCCAGGTCACAGGTATCGTTTTAGTTGAAGTATTTCCTAATACCACAAAATATCTCTTCCCTGATATCCCATCGTCAGGAAAGATACCAGAGAGAAACTAAAGGCTTCTCTCAAAGGATCGGTGAATACCTGTTGACCTGGAAGGCCACCCCAAATCCCAAGGGATTCAAGTGTCGAATTTATCAATATGGATTCAGGTACGCTTCCGCTATTTTACAGTTAATATATTTCTTAATAATCACCATACAGATCTTGGGTTTAAAGGTGATGGTTTTCACCAGTGGTTAAATTTAGATAACCACCCTAACAGAAGAGTCTACAGAAGCAGAGTCAACTCCCCCAGAAGCAGAGGAGATTTCTTCAGAAGGAGAATCTATTTCCTCTCATCACACAATTGACAATTGTGAGAGTGAATGTACAGCGGGATTTCACTCATCAGGTCAGATAAAACTATATTTGCATATGTTGAATCAGTTCAATTATATACTGATTCATGTTTCTCTCTATGTTGGCAAACCATTCATGTGCTTCTAAATTCTTTTTCTGTTTAAACCTGATGCTGCTACATAACATTCTGATAAATTTCTAATTGCAGTAGGAAACACATTGATGCCCAATCTGTTTCTAAAATCTTCTTCTTGTCATTTTCTGGTTCAGTGTTGAGTAATTTTTATGTAAGGATCTTCCTTGTTGCTACATATTGATATGATACTCAAAGCGTAACTTGATATGGTCCTCAAAACCAGATACACTTATCTGTTCCCAATTTGTGTATGTAAATAAGAGTAATACAGAAAAGTGTGACTTGCTTCTAGTTTCCCTCAATAAAAACCATAATTCAATTGATTGATATGTTGAAACATAAAATCACACTTTTGAAACAAATATTAAGTGGAGACAAAATCCCAAAAAAAAAACTATGGTTGTGTTACTTTTCAATAGAGGAAGGGCATAGGACTTAAATATGTGTTTTTCTTCACTACAATATGCTGAAATACAAACATTTTCATTCTTTACTAGGCAATATTTTCGGAAGTAAAAAAGGAAGCAATTTTTTCTTAAAATTTTTTTTTTGGTGTGTTTCATGTTTTATTTTGCTATTTTAAGTGGTTAATTGCTCAAACTGATCAAAATTACAAATTGTTGGGTAATCTGTATATCTCTTCATTCAACTGATGTAGTACTGCAATTATTCCTTCTTCCAGAGTAGATTTCCTCAGAAAGAGAGTCCATTTCTTCTCATCATCACATTAGACAATGGTGAAGACTGAAGCATTAATGTCTCTCCTTGATTTGGTGTGATCATTCCACTCATCAGGTTAGATATAATTGTATGTGTATGTTAATTCAGTTCAATGATATATAATTGCTGATCATGTCCCTTCTTCATCATCTGTACCAAATTACTTGGTTTGAACCTGATGCAGCTGTATTACTTTGTCATTGCAGGGGCAAGCACAGTCATGCACTCTATCAAGCCAACATTATCCATCATAATCTGTTTGTAAAATGTTCTCCATGTTTTTTTCTGGTCTGATGTTTAATAGTGTTTATGATCCATCACAATCTGTTTGTAAAATATTCTCCAAGTTCTTTCCTGATTTTGATGTTTAATAGTGTTCATGATCCCAATTTTTCAAATATTCTTCAATCCTGCTACAGATTGATATGATCCATCACATGCTGTTTGTAGGATGCTCTTTTCTGATTTGATGTTTATTAGTGTTCATTGCTACTACGGATTGAAATTAATGATCAAATGATCCTTAAAACCAGCGGACAACAAGCATACATGCGAGACTCACTTTTCTCTTCCTTTCAGTAATACAAAAGATTTTGACTTGTTTCTGTTTTTTCCTCAATAAAACTCTCATGCAACAAATACTTAGTATAGACCAAAAAAGAAAAAAAAAGATCTAAATTGTGTTACTTTTCAAATAGAGAAAGTGCATAGGAACAAAATGGTAAATTTTGCATCAACATGATTATATTTTCATGTATACCTATATTTTGGCGAACACATCCAATAAAAGGAGGCTATTTAGTAGCCACTCGCATTTCTTTGCATTCTTCAACTTAGCAAAAGTCTAAAGGGTGTAACTTTTCTTAAACTTTTTTTCTATGCTATTTCATCTTTTATTTTCTGATCAATGTGATTAATTGTTCAATGTTCAACCTGTTAAAAATGACAAATTAAAGAAACTGGATGACATTTTTGCTGAACAATCTATATACTTCTTCATTTAACTTGACATCTAATTGTGATATTCTATACCATGTAACTTATTTAATGCAAGAATATTTAGAAAATAGACAAAACCATTAGCTGGCAATCATCTAAGACCAATATTAACATTGACGAGGAAACCATTACATGTGAAAAGGGATGGGAGGATTAGAAAAAAAAGAAAAAGAAAAAGAAGAGACTCTTCTTGTCTATATACAATAGTGTTCCTCTATGTGGCTTGTATAATTGACTAGACAGCATAGGCAAGACTTATAATGATCAAATCACTCTACGTTAAAACGTTAACCTTTTAAGGTTTATTCCACTTGGACCTTTAAAGTTCTTTCTATTTTCATTTTGCTTAATTTTTGTTACAAAACTTTACGTCCTATCTTTCAAAACAAATTCTAAATCTTACAAAGGACTTAAATATTGAATGAAAAACCTTATATTCACCTTTTTTTTATCAAATATTCACCGAGTTAACATTGCTCTAAGCTGAACTAGGGCATGAGAGCACAATCTACTATTGTTAATGCCGGTGTTGAAGTTTTTAATTCACAGTGTGTAAATATGGGTGTAAAACAAAGTTAGCCTCCTAATATTCATAATTTTAATTTATAGTGTGATATATATATATATATATATGAATTAGCCACCTTTGAATTAATTTTTTCTTCAAAAAAGAGTTAGTTATTTTTTGATTATGCTAGTTATTTAACTTTTAAAAGAGTAAACATATAATCAATAATCCATAGTAAATTGACCCAATTTGATATATTATAATAAATGACCCAATTCAAAATTATCAATGGGCTAAAACAAAAGTAATTATTTTATTGGCTTGTATATAAATAGACAATTCAGTCCAAATTGATTAGACTCGTTTCTCACTCTTCATGTATTAACTATAACTATAGAGCAGATATTTTCAATTATGAAGATAATCAAGATAGTTACAAAATAAGATGGAAGATAATTTCCTGAATGATTGCCTAATTGTGTACATAGAAAAGAAAGTTGTTGAAAAATTTAGCGATGATTTAATCATAGATAAATTTACTTTTAAAAGGAACGTAAAACTCAATTTACTTTTAAGAAAAGAGGTTGAAATTTTAGTGTATGTTAACATAACATTTATCTTTTTTAATTAAAATAGTCATATTTATATTGCATATATATATTTATTAATTTATTTTGCATAGGCTACATATTGGAGTATCCTTTCATAATGTGCAACTTGGGTGGTTTGTGATAATATAAGACATTTAAGAAAAGTTTATTTTTTGTCTTAATTTTCATTTTGACTATGTTGCATATTTATAAAATAAACATACCTTTATAATTAAAGTTAATATTTGATATTTTTAGATGTCATATATTTAAATAGATGAAAATTATTTTGAACATAGCATATTAAAATAATTTTGTTAGAAAAATTTTTAGGCGCCTAAGAAAAAAATCTTGACTCCGTCACTGCATGTATCCCATTTGGCGTTCTCCTTCTCCCTAGCATAAAAGATGAGATTTGTTCACAAAAAGAGAGCAAGTTGGAGAAGATGAGGTTACTAGAATAACCAGCGGTAGAACAAATTCTCGTCTTGTATACCATTTGCCACGAATCCTTCATCATAGTTCCTCTTTTTTCCAATCTATCCTAATTTTAAATCCATTTTGCTCATTAGTATATTCAAATATTTAACTTAATTACAGGTTTAAAACCTCAAACCTCTTCTGGAAGTTGAGGCCGGTTTACATTGGATTAGACAAATTTTTGTTTGAGTTATGATTTTTTTCTTCAAGGAGTCAAAATGAACCTTTCATTCCTTTTGGACCATTTTTTCTTCAGGAGTCCCGAACTCCATGGGGTTTTGGTTTTTCTAGTGACTTCTGACACATCAGAACCTTTTCAAACAAAACATACATTAAAATGATTGAACTGATGGATCAGGTGTTTTAACTGATAAAGTCAAAACCAATCACTCATTTTGTTCATCACTGGTCCGCCTTTTAAAATATTGGAAAAATGGCCTGTTTCATCCCTCACATTTCGCAAAAATATTCTTTTCGTCCCTCACTTTTAAAATGAAGCAAATTCATCCCTGACATTTAAAAATTAAAGCTATTACATCCCTGAATCTGATTTTCAATCTGAATCAAACCATCCAATAACCCAGTAATAAATTTCGAAAATAGAATTGATAGATCATTCGGTCAACTTCATTGCATTCACATGACATTTATTAAACCAAAAAAATAAAAATTATAACATAAAAGGGCATTCTTTGTCTTGGAATAGTAGATTTTTATTTTTATAAATCTTTTCATGCATCGTTAGTATATCCGCTTGCGAATCTAGATGTGTATCATAAATATAAAATTTGGTGTTTAAATTTAAATTAAAATGATATGGCGGTACATAAAACCTTCAGTATATACAATGATAATGTAGAAAAGATTAATTTTTCTTTTTTATATTATAATTTTTTATTTTTTCTTTTTAGGTTCATTAAATTTTACATGAATATCAAGTTGAGTTAATCGAGTGATCTACCAATTACACCCCCAAAATTTGTAATCAGGTTGATTGGTGGTTTGATTCAGATTGAAATTTGGGTTCAGGGATGTAATAATTTTAGTTTTTAAATGTCAAGGACGAAATTGCTTCATTTTAAAAGTGAGGGACGAAAAGAATATTTTTGTGAAATGTGAAGGATGAAACCGATCATTTTCCCTAAAATATTTTTAACCGCTAAAGTTGTTCAAAAAGTCGAATACTTTGAAAAAAAAAAATCTTCCCTGAAGTTTCTAGTAATATCATTTAGACACCCCTATAGTTCTCAAAGTATCACTTACCTTCCCCACAAGTGAGGTGGCAAAAATTCACCATCGCAACATGCAAAGTGAAAGTATTACCCTCACAACTTAAGATTATTTGTTCTAAAAGATTTTGGAAGGAAAAAGAATATAAATTGACAAATTAGAATGTCTATCTTAAGAATTTTTGGCACTTAAACATTCATACTTTTTTAGTCCTTCTATGCCACCCATATATTACATTGTCCTTAATATTCTAATAATAATTTAGACAAAAAATGTAGAAAAAAAATTAGATCAATATAGATAATTGCCATTTAGTAGTTAATTTTGCACTTAAACCCCCCTTTCCTACACTCCAACTTTTTTTAAAGTGCTTCTATGCTAACTTTATATTAGAATACCCTCCCTACTCTAGCAATTATTCAAAAAAAAAATTAGTAGATTAAGTACCAAAATTTTATACAACTAAAAATTTGATATTCTAAAAATTATATTTCACTTGAACACCCCTTTGATCCACTTTGAATACTCTAATGACAATCTTATATTAAATAGCCCTAGCCCTTCTAACGACTTTTTAGGCAAAAAAGTTTAGAAGGAAAAAAAAAACCAAAATCCATCAAAGAATGGTCATCTTAACAATTATTTTTTACTTAAACTATCCCTTCCCCAAACTTTTAGTTCTCCTGTGCCAACTTTATATTAACTGAACTCTCCTATTCTAACAATTGTTTGTACAAAAAGAATCAAATGCACTTGAGCATCTTCTGAATTAAATGCAAATCCAGGGATTCGATCACCTAAAATACAAACTAATAAAGAATTTAAGGTAATATTACACACCCTAATAGAATGACATGTATCATTAGTAGTGCGTTTAATCCAGAAGCTGCTCAAGAGGACTCTTCTTGCCACCGATTTCCCATAGAACCTTCAGTCCAGCAGATCTAATCTCCTAGCTTGCATTCAATTTAAAAGGTGCTCAACTATACTTTTTTGGCCACACCTTACGTCACACAGTGTTGGGTTAGGATTAGGAGTAGATTAACTAATATTGTATCAACAACAGAAAAAAAAGGAACAAAAAAAAAAACAAAGATAACCTAGATCCTTTGGATCCACTAGTCCCGGTGGTATTCGACTAGGAGTAGAGTGCACTTTTTTAATAACTCCTTTTCCATAATGTAGGTACAGATTAACCAATATCATATTTGGTTAAAAACAAAAAAGACAAAGACAACCATTTAACCATCACACCATGTCAAACGTTTATGACTATCCATTTTTTGTTTTTTCTAGAATTTTAAATTCTTAGAATCTGATGTTCCTAAAATGGTCTTTGATTGCTGTAAAGGGTTTACTACACTTGGCCACCTTAAAGTTCCTTTTATTTTCATATTGCTCTTTAAATATTTAGTTAGAAAACTTTACAGGATTTTCTTTCTAAAGTTGGCTTTTCATGCCTTACAAAAGGAAAAGAAAAGAAGGGAAGGTTAGAAAGTTGAATTAAAAACCTTATGAATTTTTATTAATGTCTTCCAATTGGATCGAAGCTTGAGATTCCAATCTATTAATGTTCACATTGTAAGGCTTTTTCT